ATTCCACAACTCGTCTGGTCTTTGGTCATTAGTGTTCAATGCGTCAAATGTATTCTTTTTGGTGTTGTTGCTTTTTTTTTTTAAATTGTGCTTTAGGTGAAAGTTTGCAGCTCAAGTTAGTTTCTCGTACAAAAATTTATAGACACATTGGCATCAAATCTATTCTTGAGATGGTCTCTAAATTCAGATGGGACACACTCAAGGTCATACTTTGGCTCTCGTGGACTTCTAATTGTCTTCAACTTCAACTTGAACTTGCATATGAGCAACTGATGATCTGTTCCACAGTCGGTCCCTGGCCTTGTTTGGACTGATATTGAGCTTTTCCATTGTCTCTTTCCACAGATGTAGTTGATTTGATTCCTGTGTATTCCATCTGGCTCGGTCCATGTGTATAGTCACCATTTATGTTGGTGAAAAAAGGTATTTGCAATGAAGAAGTTGCTGGTCTTGCAAAATTCTATCATGTGATCCCTGGCATCATTTCTATCACCATGGCCATATTTTCCAACTATCAATCCTCTGTTTCCAACTTTCACATTCCAATCACCAGTAATTATCAACGCCTTTTGATTTCATGTTTGATCATTTCAGACCACAGAAGTAGGTAAAAATCTTCAGTGTCTTCATCTTTGGCCTTAGTGGTTGGTATGCAAATTTGTATAATAGTCATATTAACTGGTCTTCCTTGTAGGCCTATGGACATTATCATATCACTGACAGTATTGAACTTCAGGATAGATGTTGAAATGCTCTTTTTGAAGATGAACCTGACGTCATTCCTCTTCAATTTGTCATTCCGGCATAGTAGATCATATGATTGTCTGATTCAAAATGGCCAATATCAGTCCATTTCAGCTCACTGATGCCTAGGATATTGATGTTTATGTGTTCCATTTCATTTTTGACAACTTTCAATTTTCCTAGATTCATACTTCGTACATTCCATGTACCAATTATTACTGGATGTTTGCAGCTGTTTCTTCTTATTTTGAGTCGTGCCACATCAGCAAATGAAGGTCCTGAAAGCTTGACTCTATCCACGTCATTAAGGTCGACTCTACTTTGAGAAGGCAGCTCTTCCCCAGTGATATTTTGAGCACCTTTCAACCTGAGGGGTTCATCTTCTGGCACTGTACCAGACAATGTTCCACTTATTTCGTAAGATTTTCACTGGTCAATTTTTTCAGAAATAGACTGTGAGGTCCTTCTTCCTACTCTTAGTCTGGAATCTCAGCTGAAACCTATCCACTGAGGGTGACCCTGCTGGTGTTTGAAATACCAGTGGCAAAGCTTCCAGTATCACAGCAACACGCAAACCACCACGGTACAACAAACTGACAGTCACATGGTGGTGTCTGTATTACTCAGGGGAAAGGCCATTATATTTAGAATAAATAGAATTGTGTTTTTTAAAAAAGTGTTTATTTTTTCAAATAGTATGTTCAATACACATTTATACATGTATATACAAACATGATACACAAGTAAGTGAAAAGTGGATCTCCCTCCAATCTCTGCCCCAAAATAACCAGTTTCCCTCCCTATAAGGCATGCACTATTACCAGGATACTGTGTATGCTTCACTCAGTCACCACGTACTTTTTCAAACTTCTCTAATAGAGATGAAAGTATTTTGCAGAGGTTAAAAGCTTTATGCAGACATAACGCTCTGCTATTGTGGTTCTTTACCTCCTGCACCTCCAACCCCCATTCCTACATCACCCACTTGGACAAAGTTCCCATCATCTTCCATTTTTTCTTTTGCTATTTCATAATAATGAACTGATAGTTAAGTTACATATGATAGACATTAGCAGAGAACCTACTTCATGTTAGTTAATATGTTAGCTGCTAGAATTCAAGACTAAGGAGGCACAGACTTTGCCAATATTTGTCTTTGTGCCGTCTAAAGTCATGGATACAGAAACTCATGAAATAGGTATCTGACGGTACAGTGATTCAACTTCAGTAATCAGAAAACTGAAAAAAGAACCGGAGAAACTGGGTACAGTATACTGCATGTTTTAAAAATATGTATTTTTAAAATTTGAACACAAGGTGGCTCTCAATACCTTTTTTTTTTCCACAATGGAAACTGACTGAATAAGGAATTCTTCCTAAAGTAGAATATCATTATTTTAGGATAGTGGCTTTTAGTTCTCTTTGTAAACCTTAACCCATATTATCTTTTCTGCTGAACTTTACAATGTAATTTGAAGGATACTATTTCATCAAATTCTTCCTAAAAACTAAAGCTCAGAATATTAAGCTATTTCTTATAGTATATAATTTAGTACATAAATGATAATTTTAAGTTCAATTTTAAACTATCATTAACTAGCAATTTAGGCATTAATATCTAGTTCATACAGTAGCTGGGAATATTAAATGTGATTATGTAAGTATTTTTCTACAGTTCTTGGTCCTCAATACTAATTACTATCTTGAACTGGCAAAGGAATTCTTTATCTAATAGCACCAAATGTAGAAAATAAAATGCCCAGATACTATTCTTTACTGTTGAATAAAGCCAATCATATGTGTAGTCTGTTCTCCTCCCTAAGTGAATTAATACACACTTGGCTCTATAAGTTGTCATTTTCACTCATTCTTTTACTGCTGTGTACTACTCGGTGGAAAGGCTATTAGAGTTAAAATAGAATTTAAAAAAAGTATTTATTTTTTCAAATAATGTATTTGATACAGATGTATACAAGTGTATACACACATAACACACATGATACACTAGTGAGAAGCAGATCTTTCTGCAATCTCTGCCCTCAAATAACCAGTTTCCCCCCTTCAAGGCATGCACTGTTACCAGTATACTGACATATACAGTATTAGATCATTAATGTAACTAATGTATTTTTGTATACGTGTATGGGTAAAAGATATTTAAATAAAAATGATAGCATACTGTTCTATATGTTGCTATTTTTACTTACTATATCTTGGAGATTATTCTGTATCATATAAAGCTATTTCATTTTTTATCAGCTGCATAGTATATTACATGTATCTACCATAATTTATATATCCCTCTCCACTGATGGACAGTTTAGTTTCCCTTTTTATTCTTTACAAACAATGTAGCAACGAATATATTCATCAGTGTGCATACATGAAAGTGTATCTTTAGACAAATTCCTAGAAATGTAATTGCCTTGTCAAAGGGTATGTGCATTTTTAGTTTTGATAGATATTGCCAAGTTATTTTCCACTTAGGTTTTACCTTCTAACTAGCAATATATGAGAATGATTGTTCTATATCCTTGTCAACAGAGTATGCTATTAAACTTTTTGATCATTGTCTTTCTGATGTAGAAAATGTTATTTCATGTACAATTTTTTAATTATGAGAGAGTTCAAACTTTTCATAAGTTTGAGTCATTTGATTTTCATTTTCTGTGATCATGTCCTTTCCCAATTTTTCTATTTGTACTAGTCTTTTTCTCATTAACTTGTCTGGATTATAAGTCACAAACATTTTTGATTTTTTACTTGGTTTATGTAATTTTTTTCCCTGTAGAATTTTTTTCATCATTATAAGTCAAACCCATAAATCCTTTCCTTTATGACTTCTAGGTGTTGCGTGAAGCTTCTCCATTCTACAGAAATAAAAAAAGAAAGAAACTATATTTTCTTCTAGTATTTTTGTGGTATCTTTTTTTGACCATTAATGGATGTTACTTTTAGAACGGTTTTAGATGTACAGAAAAATTGCAAAGATAGTACAGAAAGTTCCCAGATACACCTTCCCATTAAACAATTAATACACAAATTGTTTTGTGACATTGGTGCCAACTCTACGATGTGTCAACATTCTCCCCTTATCGACCTCAGGTTCCCATTCCCATTTTTTCAGCTTTCCTGTCACTTCCTGCCTTCTCGTCTTTGCTTTTGGGCTGGTGTGCCCATTTAGTCTTATATACATGGTTGAATTACACATGTTATTGTTTGTTTTATAGGCCTGTCTAATCTTTGGATGAAGGGTGAACTTCAGGAGTGACTTCAGTACTGAGTTAAAAGGGTGTCCAGGGGCCATATTCTTGGGGTTTCTCCAGTCTCTGTTAGAGCAGTAAGTCTGGTCTTTTTTGTGAGTTTAAATTTTGTTGTACACTTTTCTCCTGCTCTGTCCAGGACCCTCTACTGTGATCTCATCAGATCAGTTAGTAGTGGTAGCCAGGCACCATCTAGTTGTTCTGGACTCAGTCTGGTAGAGGTTGTGGCACTTGTGGTCGATTAGTCCTTTGGACTAATCTTTCCCTTGTGTTTTTTGGTTTTCTTCATTCTCCTTTGCTCCAGATGGGGTGTATATTGACTTTCTTATTCAGAATATTCCAGCTTTGGTCATTGGGAGCTCTTTCACTTGGCATCTGTCTCTTCGTTGTGTTTTTTCCCCCTTCTTCTTCTTTTTTTTCAAATACTTCCTCACCTTCTGGCACTACAAGCTGCTCCAGGCGCTTCTTGTATATTTCCTGTCTAAGTGCTGGAGTCAGTCATTTCTCTAAGGAGTCTTGGTTTGTTTTATAAGAGTAGTATTAGAAATCAAGATCTGGGCATTTGGTGTGCTCTTTGCTACTAGAAAGTTGTTTCTTCTGGGCTCTCTTAGTTGACAGAGCAAGGGACTATATATGTATGTGATTTCTTTTTAACATTAAATTCTTGACCCCTTTGAAGTTTCTTTTGGTGTAATCGTGAGGTAATAACTCAACTCTATTTTTTTTTCCGGGTTTTAAGGCTTGGATTGAGCCTTGCGCTTGCCATTTATTAGCTGAGGACAGGTCATTTAACTTCTCTCTAGGCTTCTTAATTAAGGTAGGGTAATAAAACCAGTCCTATTCATCATTTATGATATACTAGTGAAATGATATTCTCAAAAGCTCTATGTGAATTTAAAGCACTTTATAAATATACGGTGTACTGTTAATCACTATTGTACTAAAAAGAACTCTCATAAGAAATATTCTTTCCTCAGGCAGCAAAGAACTAACCTTCTTTAATTGAGACCTCCTTTGTTTGCATTACTTTCAATAAACAGTTAGTCTTTTCCAACTGAATATCCAATATATTGTTCTTTCCACTGGTTTCTATTATTTTCTGTGGAAGAAAGAGAATATAAATTATTATCAAACCAATGCAACTATTTTGATTCTTTTATCTAAGGATATAAAGACTAATGAAAACATCAACTACTTAATATCTGAAAGTCTAATAATTAAGTTTGACATATATTTTAAATAAGCCAGCTTCTTACCTTATTTTTATTTTTAAAAGTAACATGGAAAAATATTAAAATAGACTGTCAGTTATAAAAGTGAAAATATGATGTAACCTGAAACCCCTTCTTTCCAACTGTCCAATCCTCAGTCCCATGGCTGATGATTTCCTATGTGTGTTTCCAAAACATTTTTGTCTGTACAACTACAGAATGAAATCATATTATACTCGGTTTTGCCCCTTGGCTGTTACACTTAGTATTATTATCTGGGAGATGATGTCTTATAAGCACATATACCAAACCAAACCCATTGCCCTGAAGTCGATTCCAATTCACAGCAACCCTACAGGACAGAGTAGAACTGCCCTATAGAGTTTCCAAGGAGTGGCTGGTGGATTCGAACTGCTGATCATTTGGTTAGCAGCCGTAGCTCTTAACCACTACGCCACCAGGGCCCCATAGGCACATATAGTTCTACCTTATTCTTTTAATAGCTGCATTGAGTTTCATTATATGAATATAATTTATTTAACTAGTTTCCTATTAAGGTAAATTTGTCGGGGTTTTTTTCCCCCACTTTTTTGCTATTACAGCCACTGAATAAACATTCTTGAACATATCTCTTTGGTAACTTTGAGAATATATCTATAGGAAACACAAATGGAGGATCAAAAAACATTAATTTTTTGTTATAGAAAATGTCAAACATATATACAGGAGAGAATCGTATTATAAGTCCTCATGTACCCTTCAAACAGCTTCAACGATCATCAATTCATGACCAGTCTTGTTTCATCTATATCCCTACCTACTACCTTATCCTGACAACTGAATTTATTTCAGATCAATTCCCTGACATAATATGGTTACATTGGTAAATATGTCCATATATATCTGTAAGAAATAAGACTAAAAAAATATGATCACAATACCATTATTAGATCTAAAACTTTTCATTTAAAAATTTTAATAAAATTAATCTCAGAAACTTTCCACCAATTCTCCTCTCACCAACAGTGCTTCTTATTTCTTTTTTTTCTTTTCATGGATTATTACTTCTAGGACAATGTTAAATAATGATAGTGAAAGTGGACCTCCTTAACTTTTTCCTGAATTCTAACTGGAAAGCTAGTAGTGATACTTTTTTACACTCTAGAATAATTAAAGAGATCATGAAATCAATTAAACAAGAAATCAAAGGTGAGATGATAAAACAACAAAAGAGATAAGAAGGGAGAACACAGAACTAAGAAAACAGTATATTGTTGGGTACTATACTCCCAAGTGGTTGAATATTTGAGAATGCCCTTCTATTGCTTTTTTACTTTAACTTAAAAGCTTAACTGGATATATAATTCTTAGATCATACTTTTCCTCCTGAGGGTTCTGTAGCCACTGTTCCTCTGACTTGTGATACTGAAATATGCCATAAAGGAGTAAAAGGCCAGCCTGATTTTCCTTTCAGAGGTGACTTTGGAGGAATGATTTTTCTTTTTTTTTAACCTAGATATGCCTCACTGTCGATCATTGGAATCCATTTTCCACTGAACAGAGTGTAACTTTCCACTTCTTATGTAGTTCATATCAGAGGAATTTTCTTTGGTATATCTTTGATATTTTTTTTCTGACTATACATTGAAATTTTCATCTCATGGACACCTATTATCTGTATTATTGTTCTCTACTCTCCATATGTATTATTTCTGTGCCATTTAATCTTTGTATTTTTCCTTCGCATTTTCTGTGTACAGCAAACTTTCCTTTCATGTTACTCATTTAGCTTCTGGTTGGGTTTATTATTTTGTTGTTGTTAGGTGCTCTTGAGTTAGTTCTGACACATAGCAACCCGATGTACAACAGAATGAAACACTGCCTGGTCCTGCACCATCCTCACAATCGTTAGGTTTGAGCTCAATGTTGCAGCCACTGTGTCAATCCATCTCATTGAGGGCCTTCCTCTTTTTCACTGACCCTCTACTTTTCTAAGCATGATGTCCTCCTCCAGGGCTAGTCCCTTCTGGTAACATGTCCAAAGTACGTGAGGTGAAGTTTTGCTGTCCTTGCTTCTAAGGAGCATTCTGGCTGTACTTCTTCCAAGACAATTTGTTTGCTCTTCTGGCAGTCCATGGTATATTCACTATTCTTCACCAACACCATAATTCAAAGGTGTCAATTCTTCTTCGGTCTTCCTTATTTATTGTCCAGCTTTCGTGCACATATGAGGTGACTGAAAATACCATGGCTTGGGTAACCTGTTGCCGTCAAGTCAATTCCGACTCATATTGACTCTACAGGACAGAGCAGAACTGCCCCATAGGGTTTCCAGGGAGCACCTGGTGGATTCAAACTGCCAACCTTTTCGTTAGCATCCATAGCTCTTAACCACTACATCACCAGGGTTTGGTAAGGTACACCTTAGTCCTCAAAGTGACATCTTTGCCTTTCAACACTTTAAAGATGTCTCTTGCAGCATATTTGCCCAATGCAATATGTCGTTTAATTTCTTGACTGCTGCTTCCATGAGCATTGATTGTGGATCCAAGTAAAACGAAATCCTTGACAACTTCACTCTTTACTTCGTTTATCATGATGTTGCTTATTGGTCTAGTTGCGAGGACTTTTGTGTTCTTTATATTGAGGTTCAATCCACACTGAAGGCTGTAGTCTTTGATCTTCATCAGTAAGTGCTTCAAGTCTTCTTCACTTTCTGCAAGCCAGGTTGTGTCATCTGCATATTGCAGGTTGTTAATGAGTCTTCCTCCAATCCTGATGCCCCATTCTTCTTCATATAGTCCAGCTTCTCGGATTTGCTAAGTACACAGATTGAATAGGTATGGTGAAAGGATACAACCCTGATGCACATCTTTCCTGATTTTAAACTATGCAGTATCCCATTGTTCTGTTAAAATGACTGCCTCTTGGTCTATGTACAGGAACCTCAGGAGCACAATTAAGTGTTCTGGAATTCCCTTTCTTTGAAATGTTATCCATAATTTGTCATGATCCACACAGTAATCAAATGCCTTTGCATAGTCAATAAAACACAGGTAAACATCTTTCTGGTATTCTCTGCTTTCAGCCAAGATCCATTTGACATCAACACTGAAATCACTCATTCCACATCCTCTTCTGAATCCGACTTGAATTTCTGGCAATTCCCTGTCGATGTACTGCTGCAACTGCTTTTGAATGATCTTCAGCAAAATTTTACTTGTGTGTGATATTAATGATATTGTTTGATTATTTCCGCATTTTGTTGGATCATTTTTCTTTGGAATGGGCACAAATATGGATCTCTTCCAGTCAGTTGGCCAGGAAGCTGTATTCTGGATTTCTTGCCATAGACAAGTGAGTGCTTCCAGTGCTGCATCCATTTGTTAAAATATCTCAATTGGTATTCCATCAATCCTGGAGCCTGGGTTTATTATGGCTCTCACTAATTCTAATCCATCTGTTAGAATGAAGATATTTTGGCTCTCAATGGTTTTTCTTAAATTCATAGGCTCCCTTGTCATCCTTCTACTTTTGATTGTTCAGTTTCATGATATCTTTTACTTCCTCCAGAGCAAATCCATTTATTACGGAAAAAACTCTCTATTTTTTTTTTTGGGGGGGGGGTAGAATTTTTACCAGAGTGGATTTTTCATCTGTGTTTCATGCTATGTTCTTTTTTTTTTTAATTTCATTTTTGTGATAGTTTTTTGTGTCCTTGCTATGCCATGTACTTTCATCTAAATTGAATTTAACATGGGCGGCTCTATCCGATCTTCTGTGTACTCTACTATGTAAGTAAATTTTCTTTTGCTTTCTTCCTACACTGCCTGAGACCTGTTTGTCTTCCTTGAAGAATGTCAGTTTGATGGCTGTTTTATGTTTTGTCTACTTTTCAGCTGTCAGTGGGTAGGAAAAAGGAATGGTCATTGCAGATGGGGGCTTCTATGCCATCATGACTAACGGATATGATGTCCTTTTCTTTTGGAAATTTTGTTAAAAGTTCACCTAGTTATGGACATATCATAATTCCAAGAATTCTTGGAATTATGCTCAGGTTTTAGATTATTCTCCCATTTCAAAATTGAAGTCATGTATTCTTCCTCCTAACAGTCATCCCTAGGTATTATTCTCTCCTCAATCTTTGCTTTACAGACTCATTTCTCAAATCTCTACTCTATCCACCTACCTTTTTTCAACAGCTATTCCTACTCCTCTCTTATGTAGAGGAAGGAAAAACCCAAGACACAGTGTTGGCTTGGTCTACCATGTAATTTGTCCAGAGTTGGAGAGAAGGACTTTGAATGGATCTTTCCCTCAGTCTATTCATCCTCAGGCTACCTCAAGGGTTCTGACGTTACTTTGCAGGTTAAAAATAATTGTTGTTGTTGAATTATTATTTATTGTTAGAAATGATTAACTCATGTTTTGACATGATTGTGCTCTTTTTCTTTTATATCCATACCTCCAGCCTGGATAAACAACATAGTAAATCAGGAGAGCACTTGTTCCCTCTCTAATGATTTAGCATGGGGGTACAGACCTTCTACTCTGTAATTTCATGTAGGCTGCCTCTCAATTTCCTTTCTTCCAAATTGGGGGTGAGGTATTAATAAGATTGTTCTGAAATTTTCCCAGTATGTTTCCTCCTGGTACTACCTCTGGGGAGTAGGTGTTGCCACTTTTCAAAGACCATGGTGAGTGGGGAGTTTCCTTTTTTGAGAGCTGCTGATGAGCTTTTAAATTTTGTCTTGTTTTACTTTATTAACTTCTAATTTCATTTTATTAAATTTTACAGGAAGAAGTTTGTTGTTGTTTTTTAATCCAGATTTGTTCCATTGCCTTATTCCTGAAGTCCTTCCTTACAGTTTTCTTAGTCTAATTTTACCATTGCCATCTTTTCTTATTATAATTAAGAATCACTTGGTTGATAAAACACAAGTTTATTGTTTAAAAAAATGCTCATACTGTTATCTCAAAATACCCATTGTCATGAAAATTCTTTTACTATGGCAAAGGAAAAGAAATAAAAGAGAAGAATGATAAGATAAGGAGAAAAAGTAGAGGTAGGTATTATTCCCCCTCCCACCCTCACTTCACATAGTCAATTCCCAAATCTCTAATTTATCTTCCTACTTTTTTTCTCAACAGCTATTCCTACTCCTTTCCCAGGAGGAGGGGGGAAGGCTGGAAACCCAAGATATACTTGTGGGTTTGGTGTACCATGCAATTTGTCCAGTGTCTGTGTGTGTGTGTGTGTGTGTGTGTGTGTGTGTGTGTGTGTGTATGTGACTTCAAATGGGTCTGCTGTTAGAAAAAAGAAGGGAAAGAGAAAAGACAGAATAGGAAGGACTAAATAAAAATGTTAGAGTTAGTCATAATGGTAAGAGACTGAAAGATTGAGTCTACTTTAATTTTTAACAAAACCAATTCCTGAGTTATGGACATCCTGAGCATTTAAGTTGTATTTTGCCTTTAACTTTAGCAAAGTATATCAATTATGTGTCCCCTTGCCCCAGAAATATTTTGAAGTATTAGTACAAATAATAAAACTATATAGATTTTAAATAAATGCAAATTTTAAAAATAAGGGGGAAAGGGCTTAGCAAAATACATTTTCAGTATCTTTATCTTGCTCATTATATTGTACATTTCTCTTTCTTCCCAACTCCTTCCCTTGGCAAAAATCTGTTCCATTTTTCCTTATATACTACAGCTGTTTGATACCTTTGCATACCTTTTCTATCTGTGAGAAGTCACTTATAAGTTTGTCAAGATTCACACTGCTAATCTTTTTCATACCTCCTTCACTGCTTTGATCCATGTCTCTGGAAAATTTATATTTGAGAGAAAGAAAAACAGTGAGTATAAAAAATATGGAGACCTGAGAGATTAAGGTCATTCTGGATCTAAGGGAATAAATAAAACATACATAAACACATATATAAACCTTGCAACAACTGTATGTCTTCTACAATCTACTTATTGACACAAAGTTTCTCATTTATAGACAACATATAATGGAATCATTTTCTTTTTTTAAATCTGTTCTGTCAATCTCTATCTTTTTATTGGAGTATTTAATCCATTTAAATTTAACATAATTATGGACACGGTAGGATTTATGTCTGCTATTTTGCTATTTATTTTCTATATGTCTTACGTCTTTTTGGTTCCTCTATTCCTCCACTGGGGTCCCTGGGTGGTGCAAATGGTTAACTCGCTCAGCTAACTAAAAGGTTGGAGGTTGGAGTTCACCCAGAGGTACCTCGGAAGAAAGGTCTGGTGATGTATTTCTGAAAAATCCGCCAGCGAAAACCCTAAGGAGGACAGCTCTACTCTGACACACATGGACTCACTATGAGTTGGAGTTGACTTGATGACAACTGGTAAATTCCTCCACTACTATCACCTTTTGTATTAAACAGATATTTTCTAGCGTGCCATTTTAATTCTCTTGTTGTTTCTTTTACTATATTTTTGAATTATTTCTTAGTGGTTGGCCTGGGGATTAAATTAACATTTTAATTTATAACAATCTGGTTCAGATAAATATCAATCTAATTTCAATTGCTTACAAAAACTTTGCTCCTATAGAGCTTCATTCCCTCCCCCTCCTTTATGTGATTACTGTCATATAGATTATATCTTTATACATTACAAGCCCATCAACATAGTTTTATAATTATTGCTTTATGCAGTTGTATTTTAAATCAGATAGAAAAAGGAGTTACAAGCAAATAAACAAAAAAAAAAATACACTATACTATCTTTTTCTTATCTTTCTCATTAGACTTTAAGCTCTTTGAGGGACAGGGTTGATGTAATCATATTGGTATCTCTAGTGTCTAGCAGGGTACCTAGCATATATTAGACACTCAACATGTATATGCTGAAAGAATAAAGCTGCAATAGCAATACGTTGAAACCAGTCTGAATCCCAGATATCACTAATTTTCATCTCCCTTTCGCATTAGTGATGAGACACAGATTCTTATCACAACTATGTAAGTAACGAAGTAGGTGACATTAGTTAAGTCATTTAACTTCTACATGCTCCAAGTTTCTTCAATTATTAAATTCAGATCATTGTACTTGCCTTCACAGAACTGTAGAGTGGATGACATAAAATTATAGTTCCAGATATGCTTTGAAAAGTCTAAGTATTGGCATTTCTGAATTAAAGAGGTTTTATTATTTCTTTTGTGAAGAAAATAAACAGTAGACAGCTAGCAGTGGATCTAACCAAGAATTCTCTGAAGAGAAGTCCTTATAGCCACAGGCCATGAACTTGCCACTTAGAATGCTGACAAATATAGGAAACATCTTGGCTACTTTGTGTATGTCTGTGGTGGTGGTGGTGGTGGTGGTGGTCGCCGGGGGAGGGGGTCATATTCGCTACCTTGTCTTTTCATCTTTCTTATTTCAATGTTTATCCACCTTCTTATTTAGATTACTTTGTCTTTTCTCTCTCTTTTTTGTGTCTGGACAGACAGTCCTCTTCTTTCATCTCTCATTTAACTTTTTGGCCCAAAGCTCACCCTAGAAGATCACTACCATCACTTAAACAGTTGGCTTCCACCCAGAGTTGTGATTCCGTTATTTCCCCTCTTGCAATATAAAACCAAAAAAACAAACCCACTGCTGTCAAGTTGACTCTGATTCATAGCTACCCTATAGGACAAAGTAGAACCACCCCATATGGTTTCCAAAGAGCAACTGGTGGATTTGAACTGCTGACCTTCTGGTTAGCAGCCTGAGCTCTTAGCCACTGTGCCACCAGGGCTTCTCTTGCAATATAGAGGTGAATAATGTAATGTTGTGGCTCATATGAAGTTATTTTTACAGTAACTAAGGATACCATTCTATATAGGTAGAATTTTAAGGTGAGGGAAAATAGGATAATTTGCACCACTCGAAATATTCTGCCATAATAGCCAAAAGGTAGAAACAACCCAAATGCCCATCAACAGATGAATGGATAAACAATAGCAATGGGGTATTATTCAGCTACAAAGACAAATGAAGTTCTGATACATGCCAACACATGGATGAACCTTGAAAACATTATGCTAATATAAGCCAGACACAAAAGGACAAATATTGTATGATTCCACTTATATGAAATATCTAAAATAAGCAAATCCATTGAGATAAAAAATTAGTGGTTACTAGGGTCTGGCGGATGAGGGAATGGGGAGTTAAGGAAAAAAAAAAAAGTATTCACTCCTCATACCATTCTCAACTATATGCACCTAGCTTCCCACCCCCACCACACACACACAAACTAATCTATAATGTCAGGGTTTGTGAGGGAGAAAAAAACTAAAGAAAAAGAAGAACACAGCGGGAAAGATAAGATGTAGGGGAGTAGATAACTCGTCAAGAGTTAGAGACATACTTAAAGACATAATGGAGCAACCAGGACTGGCTTTACCTTTCTGCTTAAACAAACCAACAAAAGGCAAAATATATGAAAGAGTGTTTTTCAGGCATTGGACAACAGTGAGTGCAGGACAATGTACAATGTATTGTGGGGGTTACAACATATATAGACGTAAAGTGTATGACAACAATAACAAATGCTTGAAGGAGGGAAATAGAAGTATACTATTGTAAGGTTCTTATACTACATGAAGTGGTATAATCGTACTTGAAGGTAGACCGTAATAAGTCAAACAGGTATAACTAATAAGCCAGTGTAATAAAACAAACCAACAAAGAGGAAAAAATGGAATAAAAAATACTCAATTATCTAACAAAAAAAAAAAAAAAGCCAGAAAAAGAAGAATAGGGGTAAAAAAAGAACAGATAGGACAAATGGAAAAAAAAGCAAGATAATAGATATTAGCCAAGCGTATCAATAATCACATTAAATGTAAATCGTCTAAACAATCAGAGATTATTAGGTTGGATAAAAAAGCAAGACCCAACTATATTCTGCCTACAAGAAACCCACTTTAAATATAAAGACACAAATAGGTGAAATGTAAAAGGATACTAACACTAATCAAAAGACACAAATAGGTTAAAAGTAACAGATGAATGGATATACCAATCAAAAAAAAGCTGGAGTAGAAGTGTGGAAGTTGAATTAAGGTCACCAAAAGCAAAAAGAGAAGACAACTTCTTGCTCAAGCACTGTCCAAAGGCGTCTGGGAGTCAGTCTCTGTGCCGGATTGAGCAACTGATATAAAGCTTCTATTACTTTTGAAGTAATGAGCAGAAAATATTTTTAAAAATTGGAGGGAAAAAAAACATGTAATTCCAAGCACCTCTATAGATCTAAAATTGCTCTTTTATTTTAAGGACATAAGGAGTATTAACTATAACTTGCTTAGGTTTTAAATAGTATAGGGAGAAGGGCTAGAAGACAGGACAAGAGTTCTACTTGTCTATCTAGCAGTGTGTGACCTTAGGCTGATCTTTTCATTCCTCATGGCCTATTTTCCTCATTTGGAAATGGAGTGAAGTGGATAAGATGTTTTGTAAAGGCTCTTTCTGCTTAAAAATTCTATCATACTATATAGCAAAGACATAACAAAACAATAACTGCAAATTTACTCACTGAATTTATTTGAAAATTATTTTAGTTTAAGTGGAGCTACAATCTGCTGAACTTTAAGGAATCTCTTAGCTTTGTCTATGAAAAGCAAGCAAAAATTACAGAAGATACCACTAGTACCTTGATTATACAGCCATTAGAAATGAATGCTTTTGTGCCAGGCATTATTTTAAGCTCTTAATAGTGGTTAGCTCATAAATTTTCCCAACAAACTTGTTATCGTTTCCCTCATTTTATACATGAGAAAACTGAGGTGCAGAGAGATGAAGTGTTTTGCTTAAAGTCACACAGTTTACAAACGGTGAAGCAGCCTTTAGAACCTAGGTGACTGATTGCAGAGTTCATTCACTTTCTACTCTGAAACACTATGTGTTAGATAATCCATCTGGGAACTTCAGCTATCTGAACTCATAAAGAGTATCACTGTTACGTGCCATTGAGTCGGTTCTGATTCACAGCGACCCTATGTACAACAGAATGAAACACTGCCCACTCATGTGCCATCCTCACAATCGTTGCTATGCTTGAGCCCATTGTTGCAGTGTCAATCCATCTCGTTGAGGGTCTTCCTCTTTTTTGCTGACCCTCTACTTTACGAAGCATGATGTAAAGACTGGATAGTGTTAAAAAAACAAACAGACAAAAGAAAAAAAAAAAAACCCACAAGACGTAAAACACAACAGCGAGCGTAACTCACTGTACTCCACTGACAGAGAACCTACTTGAACTCCACTAAATTTTTGTACTCAGTATTAACAATGATCAAATGCATTAAAGCTTCTCCACTCCTCCTAACCCCCTCCCCAGCCCATTTTTCTCTAAACAAATCTAAAATTAGAGCAGTGATATGTGCATATATAGAAATTCTTTATCCCGATTATACAAAATCTATTAATGCCCTGTCTAAAACATCTCCTTACCATCAGTATGGCTGGATTTAAAATCTGACATGTGACTACTAAATCTGATGCATGTCATTTAAATATAAATATTCTCAATTTAAGATGTTTAAAATGTCTGTTTAATTATCATGCCACAAATATTTTTTGCTGTACTTTCTGGTAGTGTGCTTATTTTTCATATATATACATATTTCTGGTAATCTGTTTGGTAAATACAGGACATATAGCAATTAATGTGCTCCAAACAGTCTCTCTGTGTTTCTATTCTCTTGTTATTTTGTGTAAGATTAAACTTTGGGTATAGCCAACTAACTGCTGAAGTGAATAAGGTGTTTCAGTTTTAGTCCTATGGAACCA